GCTTATACTATAGTACCGCTAGGGTACCCCGTGGTACGCCCTAGTATTCCCGGTAGAATCTAGGGCGCATCACTAACCGTCTTCGCGATATACTCGTGGAGTACTTAGATCCCCCTCTTTTTAGCCTTATACCGATCCTCTTCCACCTACTAGATCTTAAACTATATATCCTAATTACCTTTTCCTTTAATAGAGGCTAGAGGCGTTAGTAGATTTATTCGAATCCGGTACTTAGGCCGTTTAGCTTTATTAAGGTCGGGATTAATAAGGTCGGCGATAGTATAGGAGTATGTGATAGTTATCACGGCTTTAATCTAAGGCCTCTAGTCTTTTAGAGCGGTAAGCGTTATAAGGCCTATAGTAGGCACTATTACTGTGGAAGCTATTATTATACTAATAAAAAGTAGTGGAATAGGATAAACGAAAAGGTTAATTAACTATACTAAATGCTTTAAACGGTAGTACGATAAAAACGATAAAATAATTAAATAAAACTCAAATAGGCGGATATTACTAGTAATACTAAACTACCCACTATAGACTTAAGGCTGATTTTAATAGCCTAGAAGCTATAGAATTAATCGGAATAGCTTCGTTTATTAGAACGCCGGGCTTATAACTATTAGAATATAAATAAGGTACGCGGAATTATATGTGTATTTATCTAAGTGAAGTTGATAATACTTTACAGGGTTATCTAACTATACGGAAAAAGCAGGGGAAATGAGGGTGGATATATAGGACGGAGGTACTCCACACGTCTGACATAATGTGGTTTGTCACACCTCGATAAGGTGGCTGTGGGCATCTGACATCATTACTACCAATCCCACCAGGATCAAAGTCACTTGCCGTGCCTCTAAGTTCTCTTTAACCGCTGCTGCACAAGCAGTGTTTAGAGCTACACCCTGTGCCCAAAGGCCTGATTTTTTTCTCTTCGAGGAACAACGTTCATTTTCTCAAACATGGACTCTTTTATGTTGCAAGATGCAGCTGCAGCTGATCGAGTCCGCCAAGCTGAGGATTTCCTTGACCCCAGTATGATAGGACATGAACATCCTACACGTATTGGTTGTATGTCGTCAATCACTTGCTAATTTACCCACAGGAAGTCCCCATGCACGGAGCTACAAGCCCGATATCATTCTGATGGTCCAGAAGAATCAGAGGCGTCTTAATGTCCACATCGACCACGTGCGAGATCATAATCCTCAACTTGCCGACGGTATCCTCTACCAGCCCTTTGACTACACGCTTGCTTTCGACCACGCACTTAAGGAGATCGTCAAAAGTCTCCCACAAGTCCGAGATGACATTGCAGACACACCATACTACTGTGCTTGGTCCGGCAGCTTTGGCTCCAATGGCTGCAATCCCCGCACACTCTCCTCCCTTCACTTAAACAACATGGTGTCTCTTGAGGGCATTGTAACTCGGTGCTCTCTCATACGACCCAAGATTGTCAAGAGTGTCCACTACAGTGAAGTGAAGAATGAATTCCACTTTCGAGAGTACCACGACCAAACCATGGTCAATGGTGTACCCACTTCGAGCGTCTACCCCCAGGAGGACGATGAAGGGAACCCCCTGACCACGGAATATGGCTTCAGCAAGTACCGAGATCATCAGACAATATCCATACAGGAAATGCCAGAGCGCGCACCGGCTGGCCAGTTACCCCGCGGTGTAGATGCCATCCTCGACGATGATCTTGTGGATAAAGTGAAGCCCGGAGACAGAGTGCAGCTGGTGGGTATATACAAGACACTTGGAAACAGGAACACGAATCACAACAGCGCGCTTTTCAAGACGGTTATTCTTGCCAACAATGTTGTGCTGCTGTCGACCAAGTCAGGAGGTGGCATTGCGACAGCCCCTATTACCGACACCGATATCCGCAACATTAACAAGGTTGCCAAAAAGAAGAACCTTCTAGATTTATTATCACAGTCCCTTGCACCCAGTATATACGGCCACGACTACATCAAAAAGGCAATCTTGCTGATGCTGCTTGGGGGCATGGAGAAAAATCTGGCGAACGGTACCCACCTTCGCGGAGACATCAACATTTTGATGGTTGGCGATCCTTCAACAGCGAAGTCCCAGCTGTTGAGGTTCGTGCTAAACACAGCACCGCTGGCCATCGCGACCACGGGCCGGGGTTCGTCGGGTGTTGGACTTACAGCCGCCGTCACTTCCGACAAAGAAACCGGGGAAAGACGTCTAGAGGCAGGAGCCATGGTCATGGCTGACCGTGGCGTTGTCTGTATCGATGAGTTCGACAAAATGTCTGACATAGACAGAGTCTCCATCCATGAGGTTATGGAACAACAAACGGTAACAATCGCAAAAGCAGGCATCCATACATCGCTGAACGCCAGATGTAGTGTTATCGCCGCTGCCAATCCTATCTTCGGCCAGTATGATACTCATAAGGACCCCCATAAAAACATTGCCCTGCCAGACTCGTTACTGTCGCGCTTTGACCTTCTTTTCGTCGTTACCGATGATATCGAGGACTCCCGGGACAGGCAGGTTTCGGAGCATGTCCTGCGGATGCATCGCTACCGCCTGGCTGGCTCCGAGGAGGGTGCCCCTGTTAGGGAGGACTCCAACCACGCTTTCGGGGTCTCAATCAACACCCGAGGTGCTGGACAACCTGTAACCGATGTATACGAGAAGTACGACGAGATGCTACACGCCGGGGTCACGGCCACGTCTGGGCGGGGTCCTGGCAGAAGGCCAGAAATTCTCAGTATCTCTTTCATGAAGAAATACATTCAATATGCCAAAACGAGAATTCGTCCTGTTTTGACGAAGGAAGCTGCGGGTCGAGCCAGGGACATATACGTCGGCCTTCGAAATGACGTGATGGAAGGGAATCAGCGTCGGACGAGCCCTTTGACGGTACGCACATTCGAAACCCTTATTCGACTTGCCACTGCGCATGCCAAGGCGCGCCTCTCTACAAGGGTCGAGGAGCGCGATACGCTAGCAGCTGAATCCATTCTACGATTCGCCCTTTTTAAGGAAGTCGTCGAGGACGAATCTCGCAAGAAGCGGAGGAAAACACTCAACACGCATTTCGCCTCTTCCAGCGAGGAGAGCTCTGACAGCGATGATGGCGACGATGGAGTTGATTCGACGTACAGAGGCACTTCGACTAGCGCTGAACAGGCTCGTGGGTCCACGCAAAGAGTTCTGCGCCCGAGTGACACAGGAGGGGAGGTGCTGAACCGGCCTAACGGGGATGCCGATGCGCTGAACGCGCAGTCGGGAACTGGAGAGGTCTTGGATGAATCCGATGGTGTGATCCCGACTCAAACGCAACGTGGCGACACAAGTTCTTCTATCCCGTTAACCGAGGCCCGGCAACCTTCTCAAAGGGACTCTACTGTTGATGATGCCGAACTTGCAAGCGGTGCCGCTACACTAACGCTCTCGGACAAGCCCATCACACATCAACGTCTCTTTGAGTTTAGGGCTGCCCTGGGTCAGTTGCTCCACTCTGAGCTATTTGAAGACGGCTCCGCCGATGTGAAGTCCGTCATTCAGGCCGTCAACAGCAAAGTGCGTTCTAGTAGCGGGGTTCCTTTCAGTAAGGAGGAAGCTGTGATGGCCTTACGGATCATGGACGAAGCGAATCAAATTATGTTAGTTCTCTCTAGCAGCCGCTCTCACGAAAACTCATTAACCTCAGCACAGGTATACCGAAGGCGAACTCGTCTACGAGATTTGATCACGAGATGCTTGTATGCTTCCGCAGCGGCTCGTCTAATGAAGGCATATTTATATCCATTGCCGGATGTTTGTCACTGAAACAAGAAATGAGTCTATGCATTCATTGCATTCATTGCATTAATGCCATGGTGTCTGGGACAATAGTTGGGTTCGAGAGAAGGCGCGGAGGCGCGATAGAATAAAATCTGACATTTGGGTCAACCAACTGGGTTTCGTCGTTCGTTTAACTCCCCGTAGTTGACACCTGCAGACTTCTTTACCTCTCGCTTCTATCCTTTGTCGGTCCTCGATCCCGCCGCTTATGCATCACCCGCGATCCGAGCCCGAAATTCGTCTAGTCTGTCCCTGATTACGATGCCATTCCATGTTTCGCTTCCATCTTCCTCTTTGCCGAGATTCGGCATGCCTACCTGTTCGATAGCTAAACTTGCTGCCATACTTCCCCATATGGCCGCTTCCTCGATACCGAATCCTCTAGCTAGAGCAACAGACAGACCGCCCAGGAAACTGTTACCACCGCCGGTTGGGTCTACCACCCGAGCAGGATCTTGGTGGTAGGCCGGAATCCAACGCTCCAACCCTGGGTCGAACTCGATCTCCTCGCGTGCGATGATTCCATCTTCGTCGCGGAGCAGACCTTCGAGAAGGGCCTCCATATCTGTGTCCGGGCGTAGGCCGCCCCTTGGATGAGTCCTACTTCGATGCGTCGAACCGGTCTGGCAAATACCGGGTTGTCGCTTGCGGCCGCCGTTGCGAGCAATATAACAACCCTGGTCCCCAGCACGTATCACCAAGGAAAACGACCGCAGTGGCATACTGGCAAGAAGCTGTTCGCAGGACCGCTCAATGGCGACAGTCGAGATGTCGCCAGTGTCGGGGTCGAGACCATCCTCCCCCATGAAACCAGCCAGCTCGGCATGATTAGGGCTACACACGTCGACTAAAGGCAGGGTGTTGGTGCAGTTGAGTAACTCCTCTGGTGTACATAGATCTGGGACTGGTTCCCAGACGAAAATCGGCTTCACATATTGATCTGGCGGGCACAGTTCCTTCCTAGAACTTGTTATCTCAGTCACTAGCTCTTTGCACCTCGTTGGGGAGCATATGAGGTGGAAAGACTTGGATAGAAGGAATGCGGGTGTGAGGTCTTGCGCAGTGAGCCGGTTTTTGGGGGTGGTATATCTGAAAGCCCGTTTGACTGTATTCCCGGCCTGCTCGTAGCCATTCCACCCGCGAGTCGTCAGTCGGTCTGTATTTGATCGACATAGCGCTGAAGTATCCCAACTATCTATAAGGGCCGTGAGTTCTTCAGGGAAGTCTCTGCCTTTGTCCACGACCCAGCCGACAGAACTGGATTGAGGTGGGGGGGAAAAAAGACGAGCTCCAACGGCGGCGTAAGTGCCAGCGCCGCCAAGAATATCGTGCACCGGAGGAGAAGGCGGTAAGAACTCGATTTCATCTACGGTACGTTAACCCTGCGTTGGTTGATATCAAGGGAATCTCGGAGCAAGAGGTACGGACCTATGATAACCATACCAAGGGTCAAGAAGTCAATAGGGCGCAAAGCAGCATGTTGGTCCTCTGTAAGCCGATTGCGGTTGGGAGGCAGCGGCTCCATGCTGCTCTCTTGACCAGGGACAGGACTCTTTTATCTTGACCAGGGGATAACTACGCCAGGCCTTCTGTCAGATGCCCACAGCCACCTTATCGGAGTGTGACAAACCATATTGTGTTAGATGTATAGAGTACCTCGCTCCTATACACCTCTGCCGGGGTCAGAAACGTTAGCTTAATACCTAACCGGGAGGGGGGGGGTATATAGACAGTCTAGCGCTATAATGACTATCGCTGACGTAATAGCCTTATAATATAGTGGCCCGATATTATATCCAGATAATATAGATATTATTAGATAGTACGTCTGCTATGTTCGGCTAATACTATATAAAAATAGTCAGGTATATTATAGCAGTTATTCTAAACGGTGAAATCTATAGTGATTAGTAAAAAACGGTAACGCAAAGAGGTATACTATTATATAGTCTACGGTATCCACTATATTATAAGACCTATTAAATAACTAATACTACTTAATATATTAACTAGTTTACGAAATACCTGCTACTTAGCTATAATAGCTAAATTAATTAATATTACTCTAGTCACTCTATATACTACGTTAGTATAGTAAAGCTAATGGTATAAGACGGTTAATAGTAAACCGAGCAGTTTATCCTAACCCTCGACAGCGACTATATCCTGTATAATATACTAGCTCGTATTTTACTATTTTAAGCGGACTATTCTATTTACCTAGGTATTAGAACCCCTCATCGGAATCCAGCTCCCGCTTTATATATATATTTATATCGGAAAGCCAGTCGGGCTTTATAATAGACGACTGTTTAGTAATCGTGATAACGGACTATCTCGTATCCGTGAAATCTCTAATACTTCCTCCGTGGACTTTTATCGATTCGGAAGTTATATCGGGCGTATTAATAGGAGGTGTTATATGATACGATATATAATACTAGTCACGGAGCTAATACACCTATTCCCTTACGCGGGACCGTCGTAAAACATCGCTATATTCGATATTTTTAATATCCAGGTTTATATAAAATTCTTTCCTAAGTTCCCGTATAACCTTAGCTAATACTTCGGCAGCTTAGATCTCTTTTATCTTATAGGAGTTAAGGCTAAAGGAGCGAGTTAGGAGAGGGGTAGGCTTATAGTGAATTATTAATTCGAAAGGGTCGATCTATTAGTAAGAATTATCCTTATAAGAATTATCCTTATAAGAATTATCCTTATAAGAATTATCCTTATAAGAATTATCCTTATATTTTAGCCCTGTATCTAAGTCTAGGATCGTGGAGGGGAATTATTACCCGTTAGACTAAGAGCAGGATCTCTCCTCTTAAACGTCTACTAGGCTCTTTATTGGAATATAAAGTCTTAGAGAGGCGGTATATATTATTATTAAGGTAGGTAACGTAGGTGAAAAACTATAACCTATATACTAGGTAGGTTAGTATTCGACTTTGTTTCCCACTCTATAAGTACTAGTATAGCTTTTTACCTAGTAAAAAACAGATCTAAGGGTCTTAATATACGGATAATAATATCTGTTAATACCACGAAGTTCATATAATATAATATTAGGAATCGACTTAATCTCTCGCTCGTAGAAATTATCGATATTTACCTAGTAAAAAGAAGGCTAAAACTAAAATCTAAACTGGATCTAACCTAGACCTACCTTAGGCGATATAAAATCCTTACTATTCTCCTAACCCCGTTATATAACCACCGATTCTATCCCGAGGTAACTATATATAGGTAATATATTTTAGAATCTAGTAGTATTCTTTTTAAGGATATTATATTCTATAATTCCCGTGTCTATTCCTTTAATACCTTCTCCGGGATAATACCGCGTCCTTAAAGCTAAAATCATTTCACGAGATACATCGCTAGTAATATCTCTCCTCTTAAGACCTCCTTAATAGTATTATTAGTCTATATATCGCGGCCCCTTATTCTTTATCCTCTATTTCCTACCTTAAATACCTAAACCTAGCTAGTATCCTACTCCACTTACTACACGCTATATTTAATAGTCTCCTTAGCTACTCTATTATTATCCGCTTAGTAAAAGCTAGTATTACCGTCCTTCGACTTATTCGTACGGGTATTTTAAGCGCGGCCTAGCTTAGAAGATTCAGTAATCTTCTTTATGGCGGTAGTCTTCTCTATATACTTACGAATCTTAGTCTTAGGCTTATACACTCCTAGAGTCTTAGCTATAATATCTAGTTTATTGTTATACTTTCGCTTCTAGGAGCCAGCTTACTTAGGATTATATCCCCTTCTATTACTACGTTCTTTAAGCTTTATAACGGTTATAATAAGATCTTTCTCCTAACGTCTAGTCCCGTTAATAGTGGTGAAACCTAGATATATAGTAGACTTCCGCTAGTTATTCACTATAGCCACTCGCTTAGGAATTAGAATAGCTATATTTTTACCGTCCTGTATAATAATCTTATACTACCACTTATCGTGTAGGTTTCTCGTATATATAGAAAATAGAGCCTTATTCTAATAGACCGAGAGTGCCCCGAGGTAATATCCTCTATATAGGTTTTTACTATTATCCTTTTTTAGAGTATCGAAAAACGCATAGTATAGGAGCTACTATGACTTAGGTATACTAGTGTCTACTATAATACTTACTTTTAACTTCTAAGTAAGTAATATCTAGATCTTATCTATAGTAATAGTTAGTAATATTTAGTAAGCTATCTATATAGGAATTTAATATAACCTTCGGGAAATTATAAAAGTATAGTAAGATATAGCAAGATATAGTAAGAAATAGTACGAAATTCTTAGTATATATATAGCTAACCTAGAAACTTAGAATTTAAAGCTTCTAACTATTTATTTCGATAAGATACGTAATATGTGATACGTTAGTTTAATTACTTCTAGTTATTATATATTAGAGTTAAGTCGATATAATAGATAAAGGGCCTAGAAGAGAAGAAATAATATTAGAAATAAAGAAGAAAGGAGGAGTAGAAGAGTCGAAGATTAAGGTAAGGTAGGTACACTAAATTATTTTATAGATTTAAGGTAAAATTAGGAATTAAGGAATATAATATTTCTTATCCTATACAATAAAGCTATATAGTATTCTTATCGCCTTTAAGCTATATCGCCGAGTATACTCCGTTCCTATAAAGCTAAACCTTAGTCCTAAACCTAGACTATAACCTAGACCGCTGCTATAAACCGTTAATTAATATGTAGTAATACCTAAGATAACCTCTAAACTCTATCTATACTAATCTTCCCACTATACTAGCTAAGATAATCGTGTCCTATATATATACCCTAACACCTCAAAAACCTTTTCCGACCTAGCCTCTCTTCCTAAGTAAGAGTAATACTATCGTCGTTATTATCACTATTCCCTAGCTTCGTAGTATTAACGCTAATACTCTTAAAAAACACCTCGTTCGGCTTCTATGTATTATTATTATCGTTAGCAGTAAAGATCTCGGTTATCTTATATTTCCGAGCCTTAGGCTATCTAGGCCTATTCGCGATATCCTTAATAATAGTAATTCGGTACTTACGCTAGCACTTAGCTATACCTATATTAATAAATCTTTCTAGTACCCAGGTATAATCGTGTTTTTTACCGCTAATAGGTTAATTAACCTTAATCTTCTATTCCTAGATTAGGTAGGCCTAAGCTACACGGTATAGCTTATAATGAATAATAGTATACTACGCTTTAACCGTATCTATTAACCGAGAGATATTAATCTAATCCTTCGTCTATACGAATATAGCCTCGAACTAATCAGGGCTATACTACTCTATAAGACTATACCGTAGTATTTCCGAGGAGGCCTTAAATTTGCCTAGTTCGTTGTCTATTAATATTCTTATATACTCCTATAGTAATATATTAGCACCTAAGGTAAAGTATAATAGGATAGCGGGAAATATAATATATAATCAGATTAGTAATAGAGCGACTTTTCTATATATTAATATTATCTTTAAACCTCTTCTCCGTAAGGGTAAAAGCCTAAAATCTAGTCTTACCCTTTTCTACAAAGCTTTTAAAATACTACTCGATAAGAATATATATAGCTTACTTACCGAAGTATATAAGGAATAGCTTTCTTATAGCCCGCTTAAAGGCCTTAAAATATCCTCGTAGCTCCTTACCCTATTCCGCTTTAGTCTTTATAATATAGACCCTTTTATTTTATCTTATTACTATCACTAAAATATTACTACCCTTAGGCTTAGTAAAGTATTAGCAGAAGAGCGTATTATAACCGAGATACGGGTACTTACTATATTCTTTTCGAAGTAGCGGTTAAAACTCTAATTATCCAGAATATTAACGTTGTTGCCTATAAGCGGATTATCTAAGTCTATATTAAAAGGGTCTCCGTTAGCCTATCTAGTCCCCCCAATACCCTTACCGCCTTATAGAGTAGTCGTGTCTCCCTATAAGTTAAGGACTAGCGAACCCTGCGTAGCGCTAACTATATTAACGAAAATAAGGTAAACAGAATAGTAAAGTTAGAGTCTTAGTGAATTAGAATATAGATAGAATAAAATAGGTATAGCCCCTAAGCCGATTAAAGTTAAAGTTTAAATACACTAACATGATAAACGGGGTATAATTAAGGTAGAATAATAGGTTATAGAGTATATATTAAGGAGGGATTAGAGGAGAGGACAATATAGAGATTAAAGAAGGAGGTAGTTATACTATCCAGCTAATAGAGTTATAGTATTATAATATAGTTAATATTAGGGGGCAGGTCCGATATACGCCGGTATAAATATCAGTAAGTTATATAATACTAACTATCGCCGCGTATTATAACGCACTAATACTACGCGGCCACTACTAAGGTACCTTATCTTAATTAAACGTCTCTAATAATAATGTCGTTAATTTAACGTCTTCTTTAATAGCTTTTTACGATAAAGAGTAGTAATACCGCGGTTTC